AGTAAAATCTCAGGAAGATCAATAGTTTTGTGGTTCGAATTTTAGTGACGTCATGTGAAAACCAGCTATTATTATCTCTTTTGGTACTTTTAATACTATCTTAGTAAACTACTATCTTCAGGTTTCCTTCAATTCAAAGAAAACCCCGTCAGACAGGAATAGGGAAGTAACTAATCGTTTGGTATGCCAAAAAAAAAAAAAAAAAAAAAAANAAAAGAAACATCTTCAGGTTTCCTTCCTTAGGGAAGTAGCTACTCGTTTAGTACACCAAAAAAAAAAAAACCTTTGGTTCATCTATAACTTCTTGAAAAATCAGGAAACAGCTGCGCGGTGACATGCTGTCACGCCTTTTAATGAGAAAAACGGAAGTATTTTTGTCGCGCCTATAGGAACACGTTTGGGTATGGCGTGTTGTCTTTGACGAGTTCTCAGAAGGTCAATAAACCAATAAAGATACTGATGTTGTAACTTAATGCATCGTTTAAAACCTTAGCTACCTGAGATATTCCTAAAACTAAAAGACAATATTGTTACGCACGGATGAAGCAAGCGTATGTGCTGCTGTATGTGGCAACTACAATGACGTGCGATAACCTCCATTACGAACGCACACCATGACGTCATTGTTTAGTTTACTTGCAATGACGATTGCACGTGGAAGTCTCGAGATTTTGACATATGCCCCAAGGACATATGATCAACTGCACGTTGAATGCAGATCACGGATTGTATATCCGAACTAAACCAGACATCAACCAGACGACACCGTTGAGCCTACGGCAACGCTGGTAACTCATTTAACAATTTCCGAACAAAGGAGCAATCCATGGCAAGCAATTTTAAAGAAGCCTCGAAAACAGAAAGGATCTTCATGGCGGCCTCTATTAAAGAGCGAAATAAATCAATGGTAAACAACAGTCTGCTAAGCGATGTCACGTTTGTCGTACAAGATAACTGGAGCAATAAGGAAATAACAGTATACGCTCATAAATACGTGCTATCGATCGCTAGTCCAGTGTTCTTCGCGATGTTTTACGGCGCTATGGCCTCGGATGGGCCACAACGAATACGGCTTCCTGACTGCGATGGTGACAGTTTGAAGGAATTTCTCAGTTTCGTTTACTGTGACGAGGTACACATCTCTGAAGAAAACGTAGTGCAGTTGCTGTACTTAGCCAAGAAGTACATGGTGCCTTCACTGCACGAGAAGACAAGACAGAAGTTACGTAATATGATCAATGTCGCCAACGTTTTCGACTTCTTGCCGTCGATTCTTCAACTAGACGAAGACGAGCTCGCTGAGCGATGCTGGAAGATCATCGACTTCGACACAGAGCAGGCAATAAACTCTGAGGCGTTCTGCGATATTGACAGAGATGTGCTGGAACAACTCCTAGAACGCGACGAGCTAACGATCAGGGAAGTGGACCTGTTTCGAAGAGTGTTAGACTGGGCTAGGTCACGAGAGAAACCACAGGAAAGAGAAGGCAAAGAAATCCACATCCGTGATGTCCTTGGAGAGAAAGTAATCCATCTAATGCGTTTCCCAACGATGTCTTTTATTGAATTTAACGGGCTGGTTTCAAATTCCGGGGTACTGACTGAAAACGAACAAGACACGTTGGCTCACTTTTATCACGGGTTTCGTCAAGAACCCCCCAAGGGATTCTCTGAGAGGTTCCCTAGGGGTCAAATGTTCCGATGTAACAGATTCTCCTGGGTTTCTCCTCCAGAGGCACCAGTAATGCCGATTGATAAATCATTGCAAGACACGCATAAGAGATGGAACTACGTGACAGGCTTGGTGGATAGCGTGACATTTTCCGTCCAGGTACCCATCATCATTTGCGGCATACGTCTGTTCGGCAACAAAGATGCTTCCTATTATGTGAAGTTGAGTATTTTCCAAGTATCAGGCTCCGTTAGCATGCCATTTACAACGGAGGGGAATTTTCAAAGCGAAGACATGACAGAGGAATATTACGGCTTTGATGTGCCTGTTTATCCTCCATATTATTTGAAAAACAACTCTAATGTTATAGTGCAAGTTAAGATGCGCGGACCAGAATCTTACTTTGGAGTTGGAGGCAATCTATCACTGGATTGCGAGGGAGTGAGATTTCACTTTCTAAACAAGCGAAGCCCTAATGGTACAACTGCAATGAGCGGTCAGTTTGCAGAGATTTTATTCAAAACAGATTTGTAGTCGTTCTTCCTTACTATAACACACGAAGGACAGTACTGGCCGGAAATGCAACCCAAACCGAAATAGTTTCGGTAGCATCAATCCTAGATGAAAGTAGTTGGGACAAACCATGTTGGAAATGCCGCGTTTTTCCAGCTAAAATTTAAGGAAAAAATAACTGCTTTTCAACATTGCGGGGGGNGCTATTTATCACTTAGCCGAAAATTCTGGAAACTCCAGTTGGCAGTGAAACCTCCCGTGGGAGGTTCCCGTCTTTTCCCAATTAGAACGAAACGACCACTTATTTCTGAGCTTTCAGGCGCGCTCGGGAACGACTGGAACCACCAGCTGCCTTACTGGGGAGACTTTGTACCTTTCTTCTGCTTTGTTTCCAGGCCTTTTGCATGAGGACACCCGCTCGGTTTTTGTTGATATCTTCGGTGAAAATGAACTGTGAGCGTAATCTCTTCCGGTTTATCGGATAGTTTTGGTAAAACCTTTACTATTTTCAAAGAAGTACCCAATTAAGTTTAATTTAGCCATGTATTGAAAGTTATTTGAACCAGTTCCGGCCAAAAATTCAGTGAAATCTATTTTTTTTACTTTCAAGAGTATTTTTGTACATATGTCATAATATTTATTAGTGCGCTTATATCGTTACTCTTTGTTATGTCTTGTTATGAAACGATCATGCAACTTGAAGGCAGCTGACACTGGACTTCAACTCAGTTTTCTTTTCAAGGTTTTCATTTACTGCAAAACGTATTTTGTAATTTATAAGTCTGCACTTTGGTGTAAAATAATGAGAAAGTAAAGGTTATATTATATTATTACATTGTTAAGAAACTACAGTGGTAAGTAAAGATAACAAGAAACTAAAAACATTTCAATCTGTTTGGATTGCTTTTCTCGTGCTTGTCGAAGGTTGAATATTTGTAGTATCCTGCACTTTTGTACGATTA